GGCACAGCAAGCAGTGGGCGGGTGCAATTGGCTATTGTAATTTACATGTCCAATAGCAGGCTGGCTATTGTACCCTCCCACTACCTGCTGTATTTACATTCAGCTGCTGTCTGTGGAATCTTGCCACTGGCAGCTGTGATTCCCTGGCTGAAACTATTCAAGTGCCATGTGCTTACAATACAATTATAAAAAAAAATATATATAAAAAGGTGGGGAAAAAAGTCCTTTTCGGTTTTGGCCTGACAAATTCTGCTGCGGGAGGTATGTTGCAGTGCCATTCATTTCAATGGCACTCCAAACACGCCTCCCACCCACAGTGTGATCGCCCGCACTGGAACGCACGGTACCGCAATACTGTGCGTTCCAGTGCAGTGTGATCGCCAAATATTGTGCATACTGTTTTATTCTGAAGTAAACTTTATGTTTGTAACACTGCATTTGTGTATTTTATTTTAAATTAAGGATGGTATTTATGTAATTTTTTTATCCGATTAATTAAAAAAAATTATTGGCCGACTAATCGATTAACAAAATAATCATTAGGTGCAGCCCTAATTTCCTATGCTCCTCAGCTTCATCTAATGGCCATGATGTATCATTACAACTCACTACATTCAAACTGGGAAAAAATATATTAACAACATTAGTTTTTGGAATTATTTGCCCAAAACTAACATTTACAGATATTCGAAGAGCAAAAGGCCCTGCAAACTGTTTGTAAATAGACTTCTAAGTGCCTTGGGCCATTTGGTACACCAACTTTAGGACATATGGAATTAGCTTTTCAATACCCTTCCTGATGCCCCTTCCACAAGTATTTCCTAGGGACCCCATCTATGAGATCTATTACCTATAATACATGTAACTTTTTCTAATAGGAACTCCTACCTTAATTTTTAAACAACATGTCCCGTGCACACTTTAAATAAGCAGTACACAAAAAAATTATATTTCAGTTCTTCACAGCTCGGATACAAGTTAAATTATATGATGGCTATCTATAACTGTTGGGGATTCTAGTGATCAGACATCCCTACCAGCATTCCGATTTGAGAAATACAATGCTGTATATGTGCAAATATAACGTAGTATAAAAATGGTGTATCTTTGACATCTGTCCTTTATTGTCACAGGTCGGCTAGAACTATGAGGTGAGTGAAAAGCACTCACCTCATAGTTCTCCTTTAAAGTGACACTAAACTCAGGAGTTAAATATAAAAACTAGGGATGCACCGATACTGATACTAGTATCGGTATCGGTGTCGAGTATTTGGGCGAGTACCCGTACTCGCCCAAATGCTCCGCTGCCTAGCCCGATTCTTCCGGTATCAGGAAGCCGGGCAGCACCTCAATACACGCTGCCCGGCTTTCTGATTGGTTGAAAGCTGGCTAATCAGGAAGCCGAGCGCTGTATAATGAAGTGGCGCCCGGCTTTCTGATTGGCCGGGAAGCCGGCTTCATGCTCCCTCCTCACTTCATGATGAGGTAAGAAAGCTGGCTCCATTCTTTTTCATCACCTAGTGACGAGAAGCACGGGGACGGCTTCCCTGCTAATTGGGAAGCCGGGTGGCGAGTCTTTACACGCTGCTCAGCTTTCCGGCTAATCAGGAAGCCACGTAGCTAGTCATTACACGCCGCTTGGCTTCCTGAATGGGTCTTCCAATACTCGGTATTCGGTATCAGCAAGTTCTGAAACACAAATATCGGTACTCGTACTCAATACCGGAATACCGTATCGGTGCATCCCTACTAAAAACAAAAAGACAGGAGACTGCACCTGCGCCAGAGGCTCTGAGTAAGGACGTACTTCCCTCTAAACACTTCAGCTGATTGCCTATGTATATGTGATGTTTCACTATCACCGCTCTAATCTATCCTGTTTATGTGAGTAGTTTTTATCACTTTTATGCATTGGCAATAAAACGTTATTAAACGAGGAGAAGGCACTGTCTTCTGTCTTTTTGTCTTTACATGTTACCTGAGGATATATCCCATAGTCTTGTGGATGGCGGCCTCCCAATGTTGTATGGCTGAGCACTGGGAATTTGCTACAGTTTCAGAAATTGTCAGGAGTTAAATCACAAAAATGCATTTAAGTACCCTATCAACAAAAATGTATCTTATTTGTGTATCAATAATAAAATAGAAAACAAGCTGCACTCCTTACCAGAAATATGGAAGCACTGCAACAGCAGGTGGGTGCTTGTAGCGACCACGGACAGCACCGTGTATAGTACAAGAGTGTAAAGTACATGTCACCAGGACACCAAAAGATAAATTCCTGGGCTGCTTTAAAGTCGCACTGTGACAGAATAAAACCTCACCCTGATCACTTCTTAATTATGCTTCTGTGTAGAGTAAAAATCTGTCACATCTTCAGTAATAAATCTGTCTGAGAACTTTGCAAACTGTCGCACTTGGCTGCCAAGAAATTCAGATGCAAAGGTCTGTAAACCTATCGCTGAGACTTTTCTGATAGAGAGGCAGCCTGATTTGTGATTAAGTATGTCACTAATTTGTTTGACAAATGTTACCTTATGGGGACATTTATCAAGCAAATTGGTGGCATTATTATGTGTAAATCAGTCTGCCTCTCATTTAGCAAAGTCTCTGCGACAGGTTTACAGTCCCCTGTGTCTGTATTCCTGGGCAGCCAAGTGCGACAGTTTTTAAAGTTCTAAGATTTATTACTGAAGAAGAGACAGATTTTTACTCTAAACAGGCGCATAATTAGGAAGCTGTCGAGGTCAGGTTTTATTCTGTCGCTGTGCTACTTTGGAGGGAGGAATTTATGACTCGAGCTACAACCTTATAATACATTTTTCTCATTGCTCCTGTTTAGCACTGTTTTGCCATGCAACAGAATTGATCATTGTCCCCCTATGTGTTTAAACACACATACTGCAGTTGCTGTTTCTCTGAAACTGCTAAGCAATTGTGTTAGGGCCCATTCACATCGCACGCTACAACGCACAGCTGCTGGTGTGTGTTGCCTGGCACAATGCTGATGCACCAATACCGTCACATCGCACTGTTTACTTTTTTTAGAACTTTATTGTCCCACTGCTCTGAAAAAAAGTACTGCATTCAATTAAAAGATATGACCAGATACATTTAAGGCAGGAACTTTCCTGGAAAATTTGAAGTGCACTTTCCTGCGATATGAATATTTACAGTAACATGTATGCTGTCTTCTGGCTACAGGACATTCTACAGGGCTCTCTTCTATAAAGGGATCCTTGACAAATAAGCACAATGGGCATCGGGATGTCATGTTCTCATTATGCATTTTTCCTCAAACCCTTTAGACCAGTGCTGGACATATCCCAGGAGCCAAGTAGCCAATGCTCCTTAAAAATTACAGCTGGCGCCTAACTTATGAGGTCTTCTTTAGTTGTTGTCGATGGAGCTGGCTCCTAAAAAATTCCTGCAGTCCCCTGGCCCCTGGTTTGGACAGACTGGCCCCGGGATACCATATTAATTTACTTACCCCTGCTGTAGAGACATTTCTACTCAAACCTGGTAAAGTATAGCTAGTTAAAGCCTGGCTTCAGCCAAACTTTGTATTCCATTTTGGAAAGAGCGGGAAAGTTTTCTTCACATTTTATTGGCATATGTTTCCCTATATCTTACTGTGTCCTGCAGTGACGTAGGTGCTGACAGGCGGAATCACAGCACCCAGTAGGGGACACATTATTTAAACACATTTTGGCTAGCGGCCATGCCTGGTGCACTTCGAGAGAAAATTAGAAGTTCCACCAATGGTAAAGGTAAGTATAAAGCCTTTTTTTCCCAGTGTGTTTCTTCTGTTAATCTTTTTAGCATACTGATAGGTTTGCTTTCGGCTTTTTTCATTGACCTAATTGGTAGAACAATTAGAGCAAGACAAATGTGGAAGTGTTCAGTTCACATCAGTTAAAATGCTGGAGAATGGCAACAGTTCGGATATTAGAACATTTCTGCTACCTAATGCCCCTATGTGCCTCTATGACAACAAGCATCTTCTTGAGCAAAATACTGCCAAAGTAATGGCCCCTGTAATTAAGGTCCTGTGTTGATGGGCTTTGGGGTTGTGTTGATGGCATTAGTGACATCGGTTTGAGATAATTCAGAATTTATTGTCAGGTACATCTGACCTGCAGTTGACCTCCTTCTGACATGCCCAGACCTGTATGGGAATGCAAAACCTGTCTGACTTGAACAAAAGCCTGTTGACACAGGGCCTAAATTAGGTCACTCAACTTGGAGGTGGATAATAAGCTCTTAAAATGTAAAAGCTTTTTTTAAGGCTGGTCCAACATTTACCAATTTTACTGGTTCCTCCTAATCAAACTGACTAAACAATGGAAAGGCCCCAGCTTATGTATGAAGAAAGGCCAAGCCTACAGTAGCAAAATCCTATGCGGCCCATGAACTGCCAGATGTTTACAAAAATGAAACAGTGAAGACTTAATAATCCAATGTGAGGTGACTGCACATTTTTATGACACAAAATGCTGCTACAAAGATCTCCTGTCATATGAGGATAACCCAGTTGAAGTGCTTTATGATTTGGCCCTGTCACCCCACAAATTATGTTGTTTGAGCTTACTATCACACAAAATCCTGGATGGACACAAAACATGCCCCTAGTCCAACAAACCTAAAAATTCCAGCTATTGCATTGGTATGGACTGAAATGATGAAGATCTGAAGATTGATCTGAAGAAGATACAGAAGATATCTGGTTCAAATACAGCAAGGTCTTTCCAAAATCTCAGTGCTATCCATAAATGTATTTGCAGAGCCATTTTCATGGAAATAATATCACTAACACCCCATGGGCTGTGTGTGTTTTTGCACATAATAAACATATGTAAAGGAACAATACAAAGACATGTAGACAGTTCCAACTCAGTGTCCTTGCAAAGACCTCTGAGCAATGCTTTTCTTTTTTCACAGACATAATGAACATAATGAATTAGCTGCTTAATTACAAGGAAGGGAGCAGTGTTTCCTACCCGGAGATTGCTGCGAGTTTTTGGTGCGCTTGCAGAGCCATCTCACAACCTTTGGTTCGGGTTTTCTGCATTTCAGCCCGTAGGGAGGGACAGCTTACTGACACATCCCCGATGGAAATGACTAATTCGCGGTACAAAGCCACCTGGGTGTTGAAATCCTGGACAAGCTGGAAAAATACATCACAACTGTCAGAAAACAGCATTTCTCTCACCCCTTTTTATCGTCAGGGCTCAAATACACTTGACCTTTAAATCTTCCTACCATCATGACATGAACCACGGTGGAGAACTGCTTTACGTGCAGCCTAATCAAGCCAATTAGTTGGAGGTGGAGTAGCTTTCAATAAGGGTCAAGCTTATACTAGTAAGCGATGAAAAGCCCATGGGTGGGGGGTCAGATACATTTGGGATTATTTTAATTGCTTAATAGCACAGGATTAACTTCATGTTGAATATTTTCTGATCTCCAACACACTACAAATCAGTATGCTGGCAATACAGAAACAGTTAACAAGGGAGAAATATAATTTTAATTAGGGATTTAAAAATTCAGTGTAGTTGAGCCCTTTGCTGCTAATAACATCTAATAAACTACTAAACACATATTTTAAAATATTATTTAACACAACATTACTGAAACACAGTTTCCATGGGTTATAGAGACCTATAAAACAAGCAAATAAGAGCTGCACTGCAATTCTCTTTTTAAAAGCTTTCTTTGCTGTTTAAATTATGGTTCAAGAGCCGTACATAATCCCTCATTGATTGGTTACTAACTACAGCCACCAACGCTGTTCTGAGTGCATGCACACCCCCCCCCCCCCCCATCTGTAGGCTAGACAGTAGAGGTGAGAACATCCAGGTGTCTACAGTGCAGACCAGGAAATTGTCCTACATACATAACAATCAGCCATTGATGATGTTTGCTGCAGGTTATCCCCATCCATGCTGTGATACCCCCACCTTGCCTTTGAATTAATATTTTGTTCATCAGAATCAGTAAAAGTGCATAACGCCACTGCTGAGAACAAGTTGGGTGGACACTATATGGGACTCTAATTACCATCAATCAATTAGCACGGGCACAGTGGTAGTGTTGTGGGCATACACGTTGTGTCAATGCAGCAATACTACCAGCAGAGATGGAAGGGCGGTTGCTATGGATGTTGAGTCAACCATGGCATTAAATTGTAAATTTTACCCCCACCCATCACCACCTAAATAAAGCAAATAAATAGCCTATTTTCCAATCATCTCATTACTATCCAATCTCTATGTGGTCTGCTCTTATATTACCATCTTACCAAATGAAAACATATGTGATATGATCCAAATTGAAAAGAGTGTATGGAGAAGATTAATACTTCATACAAATAAAGATAGTAATTGTGCAAACCAGAAGACTGTCACAGAAAATAAAGGCATGGATCTGAAAACTAGAGCACACTTTGCACAGAGTAATTTGGGCCCGATAGGTCTCACTTGAAAAATGCCTGAAAATGAGCATTTTTCAATGCTAAAAAACCATCTCCCTTAACTAGCTTTCCATTGGCTAAAGCAAAAATGCACAAGTCTGAATATGCCGCAAATAAAAACACTCCAAAGTAACCTGGTAGCGCTCACGTTCAGGTGTGAATGCAGCCTAACTGTAACGTACATAAGTTCTTAAAGATCTAATACATAAAAATACACATTCAGGCAAATTTCATGCATCTTGACGCCTTGAGCCCATGTATAGCAGCTGACAGCCACCTGTACTGATGGATGGACTGTATTCACCTGTGTGTATGTATCCACAGGTCTCTTTGTCTGATGAAGGGACCCCTTTGCAGGTTCCAAAACGTTGCATTTGATATGTGACATTCCTAGCTCACGCTAATATAAGTGATTTTGATTTTTGAACTGGGTGCTGGCCATATTTCCTCCACAGCAGACTGTAGGGACCAGCTCTTCATATCTCAAGCACTACTCGTAAGCCTGCATCAAAAATTACACACAAAAAATCAGTTCAGATAAAAAAGGGTTAATCAACAATAGAAGCAGCCGAATCCCACCGCTCTGAACTCATACTGAGCCAGTGAATGGGTTAACCCTCGTGCACCTGTATCCGTCTCAACTCGCTGCCTCTATCTGCAATAATAACACTAGCCTGACGCCCAGCTGCAAGTTCTGCAAGACACAATTGTCAGGGCTGAAAGGCAAGGTGTAATGTGGTTATTTCATTACACACCAGTGCCTTCACCCATTTCATACCTGCAGTTGTCCATGGCATATAAAAGCTATGTTGAAGAGGCAGAGTGGGGATGTGCTAGCTTGCCCTCACTTATAGAGTGGAAATGTGTGATGTGGTTACACTGCAGCCTGTTAGCAGCAATAGGGTGGTATTACAAGGAAATTTGCATCCCTGTATGCCCCAGCAGTACTATGAAAAGATGTGCAGGTGCAAAAAAAATATGGACTCTGGCTGAGACCTGTGCTGTACCCTAGCTATTGTGCCATCCAAAAAGAAGCTCTGGGGTCAAGGCGGACTATAATGATGGCAGAATGGGCACATGCCCAGGGCCTCCAACTGAAGGGGATGCTAATAAAGTTGTGAACTTCAATACTGGTTATAGTAAGCCAGTTCCAGAATTGCAAGTCTTTAGAGCAGCCTTTCTTACCCTTTTTTGCCCAGAAGGAACCCTTAAACCCAAGGAATATTAATTAATCCGAGATTAAGGGTGCCCACCTTTCAGTAGTGGTCAAAATGCAACCCTTACAGATCAATGAGGTCATACCGGTGTCATTGCCAAGTGATATTGGCCCTGGCACCATCAGATGGGAAGTCAATCAACCACAGGTTGTCACCTCTGGAGGAACCCTTGAACTCCCGGAGTATTCATTTATCCAAGGATGCCCACCTTTCAGTGGTGGTCAAAATGCCACCCTTACAGACCATTGAGGTTAGACCATTGGCCCTGCGACCATCAGATGTGGGGGTCTATCAACCACAGGTCAATTAACCCCCTGCCATCTCTGGAGGAACCTATAGTTCCAGAGAGCCCTGGTTAAGAATGGCTGCTTTAGGTCAGTTTCAGAAGGCAGCCAGCGATAGCAGCCTTTACGTTCCTTTTATTAAAGGTTTCCTTTAAGATACTCAAAGATCACACACAATTTGTATGCAAACCCCCTGAACCTGGAAAGCATTGCTTTCACACTATATCTTGCCCCCTTAAAAGAGTCACTTGAAGACAATACCGCTGCATAAGATCCATTTCAAACAGCATATCCCAAATTCATTGTTAACGCTGTACAGACACACGTCGGAAACAAAACCCAGACGCCTATGACCCTCGTGCATGATCCCATTAAACCGGTGGGGAAAGGTGGGCACATGCATTAAAAAACAGCCCAGGGCCCAAAGCACAATGAACCCACTGCTGCTCTAGGCAGAATAGGGTTTAGATAAGGACAGACGCTTTCTGTCCAGAAGAGACCCCCATGCATGCCTGTACCACCCTACCATCTATGTGAGCGCTATCCACCAGCTGGAGTTTTAAAAATAGTGCATGTGCACGTGATGTGAATAGACAAGCCCGGGTGATGGGGGCTGCTGGGAGTGGTACTAAAGCAAAACCATCAAAAGCAAACAAGACCTGTCATTTTTTGTTTGTTTGTTTGGGTCTTCCATCTACCCACCATTTTGCAGTGGTCCAGGGCTCTCGGGGATTTGAGGGTGCTCTCCGAGCTCCCCCTGCGATCAAGGTCTCTGGGGAGAGGTTTGCTGCCGATCTGGAAGATGGATCCCTGTGACCTGGGGCGATTTTTGCGCCCATTCGGTGCAGAAGTCATGCATACACATCCAGCAAGGAACGCCAAGGCGAGATGGGAGGGAGCGGAGAGGGGTCCGCAGAGCCACTGTCACTGCTGATGGGGGGGATGGAGCTCTTCTTATAGCAGGTAACCTTCAGCCAGGAGGAGAGGGGCTCGCTGCATAGCTCCGATCTCAGCCTTGCAATAGCATGGCCAGCCCGATGTCGGCACACACAGCCTCCCTCTAAAGATCGATCGCAAGGCAGTGCCAGGGAAGAGTTGCCATCCAGGAGACGATCGGGGGGCTCATCGGTCCCTGCGGATTAGCCGGCTCATGATCGCTGATCGGGCTTTCTCACGCCTCCCTCCCTAGTAGGAGGATTAGATGGCCTCTCCGATGTGGCCCCTGGATCACTCCGACTGCTCTCTTCTCCAAGATCCTCCGAGATGCTTCGCCGGGACTGGAAGAGAGGATGGGAATCTGGCAGCCTGACGTGGTTAGCATCACAGCACATTGATAGGACGGGAATACTAATGTGATCTATCAATCCAGCCCCCTACTGTTTATATACTTATCCAATCAAACGCTCAAGAACATCAATGGTGATATTACTTCATAGGCTTCTATTATTAGTGCCTCTGGAATAGAGCACGCAGCCACGTAGTCGGTGCAGAGGCTGCTGCTTCAGCCAATCACAGCCAGGCTCTGCACCCCTCCGCGGTCATAGGGCTTCGCCTCCCATTGTCAGTGCAATGGGACCCCCATGACTTTTCTTTAGGAAATCAATCTCTTATGGCTAAAAATAGCTGATGGGGGTCACATGATCACAAGTCACTTTCAATGCTGAAGACTGTAAACTGACTAAACTTGCATTCAAGTACCTTAACTAGTCACAAAAATGCAGGTGTGGTGTCAACCAGAGCACCCACGGCGGGACGTCATCACGCACGTGCATGACGTTATCTAGCACACGCATTATGACGTCACGCACGCGTACCTGCCAGCATCCATCATCTTGGTGATGGATGCCGGCAGAGAGAGGAGGGGACGTTTACCCGCCTGGTCCCCTCTTCTCTGGTGCAACTGTCGGGCTCCTCTCAGTCCATGACAGAGTGCCTGACTTTTCAGAGGGGGTGACACCAAACTGACTGTCAATCATTCTTGTGTCGCCCCCTCTCAAGTAAAGTGTGTCACTAGCACACCGTGGTTAAATCTTCAAGAAGTGATAATTTTATTGATGTACACACATCTAGTCACATAGCAATGTTTTGGGGCCACTCAGGGTCCCTTCATCAGACATGACCCCCTCCAATGGTGTTACCCAGTGCGGGCTGCATCTCCCACACCTCCCCAGTGATGCCACTGCAAAAATGTATCCTCTTTGTGTAGATCCTCAAATCATCTCTGAATTGGTGCTGACACTGTCCTTCCTTCAGTCACGCAGCTGGGCGGATCCAGACATAATTGTCGGAATCCGCTTCAGCTGCGGCGTCTCAGTATGCCGCGAGTAGCAGCTCGCGGTATACTGCGGCGTCTCGTATACTGAGCCTAGGGTGACGGAAGGACGCTAGTTTGTGTCCTCCCGTTACCCTAAGGAGAACTATGGGGAAAAGCCCTAACCACATAGTTCTCCTTTTTAATCTTTCACCCAGGAAAGGCTACAGATCACCAAACTCCCTTTTGTGACTAATCTAGTGATCCACTTTTCTGCTTGGAACTTTAGTCCTTCATCCAGGTATAACTGTAGTGTACTGATCCATTTCCTTTCTGTCAGTAACCCGGGACTCACCCTTACATTTGCAGTGCAGGAGAAGTACAGTGGTACCTTGGTTCACGAATGTTTTTGTTCGCGAACAATTCGGTTCACGAACATTCCGTTCCCGAACTCCGCATCGGGTGACGAACACAACCGCAGCCATCTTCCCTGCTCTGACACATGGCCGTGGCTTCCTCTAGTTCGAGATTGCGTTACCCTAAGGAGAACTATGGGGAAAAGCCCTAACCCCATAGTTCTCCATTAAGGATCTACAGCCGAGTGATACAGAAATAAGATACATTTTTGTTAAAGGAGAACTATGGGGTCAGGGCTTTTCCCCATCGTTCTCCTTAGGGTAACGGGAGGACACAAACGAGCGTCCTCCCGTCACCCTAAGCTCAGTATACCAAGACGCCGGAGCGGATACCGACATCGATGTCGAGATCCCCCCAGCTGCGTGAGTGACAGCTGGCTCTGCCTATCTAGAGGCAGAGCCAGCTGTACCCTCCCCCGTCCGTTCCGCCAGTCAGCGCTGGCGGAGCGGGGAGGGGGGAATCCAGCCCCTCCCCTGTCACGGCAGAGAGCCGTGACAGGATTGAGAGGTGAGCGAACGCCGCTATATGTCCTCTGCCGTGACAGGATCGAGAGGTGAGCGAACGCCGCTATATGTTCGCTCACCTCCCGATCTACTGAGCCGACCTGTGACAGTCTCATTGTCACAGGTCCACTAGAACTATGAGGTGAGTGAGAAGCACTCCCCTCATAGTTCTCCTTTAATAGTTTAGGCACTTAAATGTATTTTTAAGATTTAACTCCTGAGTTTAGTGTCACTTTAAAGGGCATTTCCATCTTTGTAGCAAAATTGGGATATTGAGTTTTGTTACATGTTTCCATTTACATTGTATAACTAAAAAAAAAAGTAAAATGGCATCTTATCTTATTTTGATAGGCGCCTTCCACAGGGGCAGTGCAATCAGGTACGCCTGTCGCCTTTTCAGATCTGATTAAAAGCCCAGTGTTAAGCTGGCCATACACCTATAGACTATCTGCAGATTTTCTATGGTCAGATGGAAAAAGTGCAACAGATTCTTCCATCTAGGCTGCACTGTGTGGATGGAGGAATCTCCCGCTGGGCCAAGCTTCAGTATCTTGCTAGTCGGCCCCGCTGGCTGTCAGAATACATGAACAATGCCTGCATCCAATCAGATTGTTCAGGTATTTTGGCAGCCATTGGGGCCGACTAGCAATACTGAAGCTTGGCCCAGCGGGAGATTCCTCCATCCACACAGTGCAGCCTAGATGGAAGAATCTGTTGCACGTTTTCCATCTGACAATAGAAATTCTGCAGATCATCTATAGGTGTATGGCCAGCTTTAGTCTATGGGCGGCTGGATTTAAATAGATGTGCGTTCATTTCTATCCGACTACTCCTGACTTTGTCTGGGGGGTCTATTCACAAAGCTGCCGAAAGATCCAGCCGTAGCTTTGGCTAGCTTCGGTTGCGGGAGCCCTTCGGTTCAGCCCTTCTATTCACTAAAGCCCCTACAGCACTTGAAGGCGGCAGTGCGGCTCAGCGGAACCGAAGGCATTTGAAGTGTCAGCCGAAGCGTGGGCGAACGGCAGGCCTTTCGCCCCGCAATTGACAGCTGGGTGATCTCACGGCTGGCTCTGCCCAGTTGTAATGACAGATCAGCATCCACAAATGACCTGGGGACGCTGAACTGTCATTAAACAATAACAACTGGGTAGAGGCGGCCGTGACGCCACAGCTGGCTCCGCCCAGTTGTTTTTAATTGGCCAAGACTTGCTAGAAGACTCTAGCAGGTGCTGGCCAATAGGAAACAGTTGGGTGGAGCCAGCTGTCACTGCTAGTTCCCCCCCAATTTTAATTTTTTACATTTTTCTTTTTAAAATAATCTTTATTTATTTTTTTAATTTTTCAATTCATTCACATTTTAAAAATATGTTTTTCAACTTTTTTTTAAAAACGATTTTTTATTGATTTGCTGATTTGCACAGAGGTACCGAGCAGAATAGCCGAGCCAAATGCCGCTCGGCGGCATTCGGCTATTCACTCAATGCCGTTCGAATCCTATATGAGAATTGTGGCGAACGGAGCTTTGGCTCAGTCCTTCTGCACTTCTGCTCAGCCGAACACAGCATGAACGGGTGACCGAAGTGCCGCCGATGTACGCTGATTTCAGCCATACTGAGTTGTAGTGAATAGCCGAACGGCATTCGGCTCACTTCACTCCTGCTTGGTTATTCACTCGGGTGCTTTCGGCAGCTTAGTGAATAACCCCCTAAGTCCGGAAAACCAAACCCCTTTCATACGGGTACCAATCGGCAGGATCCCCTGAACGGATCCCCTGAACGGACCCCCTGCTGATCGTAGCAGTTAAAGGAGAACTATGAGGTGAGTGCTTTTCACTCACCTCATAGTTCTAGCCGACCTGTGACAATGAGACTGTCACAGGTCGGCTCAGTAGATCGGGAGGTGAGCGAACATATACCGGCGTTCGCTCACCTTCCGATCCTGTCATGACTCTCTGCCGTGACAGGGGAGGGGCTGGATTCCCCCCTTTCCCGCTCCGATCCGCCAGCGCTGACTGGCGGAACGGACGGGCAGGGGGCGGGTACAGCTGGCTGTGCCTCTGATAGGCAGAGCCAGCTGTCACTCACGCAGCTGGGCGGATCTCGACATCGATGTCGGGATCCGCTCCGGCTGCGACGTCTCAGTATAACGCAAGCTGTAGCTCGCGGTATACTGAGCTTAGGGTGACGGGAGGACGCTAGTTTGTGTTACCCTAAGGAGAACTATGGGAAAAAGCCCTGACCCCATAGTTCTCCTTGGGGGTGTCACAAGGGTCTTGTGATGGAGGAAAAAAAAAAAATCACCAGACCAATGCTGGTCTATGGGAAGCTGGATGTAAATGGGCATGTGTCCATTAATCATCCGATTACCGCGGACTCTGTCCAGTTCCTGAAAACCGAACCCCTTTCAGAGGGGTGCCTGTCAGTTCTGATCAGCAGGATCCCGTTCACGGATTGCCTGCTGATCAGTTCAGAACGGACGTCACAAGGGTCTTGCGAAGGAGGAAATACTGAAATGACTGGACCCATGTTAGGTCAAATGTGTGTCCGTTTACATCAGATTACCCCCGTCTGCCGGGATCAGGAACTCTGTCCTGTTTGGTTTTCTGGACCTGGAAGGAGTTGGGGGAGGGGGGGGGGGGTTATCAGATGTAAATGGATCTCACAAGATGGAGGAAAACGCTGAAACGGACAAGAGTCAAATCTGTTCTGAGCTGCACCGATCAGCAGGGGATCCGTGGGATCATGTGTGGGATCCTGTTGATGGGAGCTGACAGACACCCATATAAAAGGAGGCTTGCTGTTCCTGAGAATTCCTTCTTCGTTCTCCCTGTGGAGGGGATTGGAGGGAGTTTGGTTCCAAATAATGAAAGAAGAACTCTGTGGAAAATGTTATTACACCTTGCAGTGAGGCG